GTTTTAGCGCCCATACCGGACGGGGTATGGGGACGGCCCGTTTCACCTCATACCGGACGGGGTAATGAGGTCTATGGTTTGGCGCCCATACCGGACGGGGTATGGGGACGGCCCTGGAATATGATTTCAAGTGTTAAGGGTTAACGGGTAGTGGGACCCCTATGGATCCCCATGGATACTAGTGGGCTGGTAAATGAGGAAAATATGTTGTGTAACGATTAAATTACGAAAAGCTTGATAGGTATTATGTTATACAGTTCATATATATGTTTTCATGATGATGATGATGTTATTGCTTTCGTATATTGTTTTATGAATTTCACCGAGGTAAGTGAATGGTAAAGGTTTTATTATTAATAAAAGGATTTGTTGTAAATTATGCTCCATTGGTCTTTTTGTGTTTTCTACCCACCTTTACCTCCGTGACGGTGAGATATCGTGATGTCCTTACTGGGCTAGTGTAGCTCATTTCTTATTTAATCATTTCAGATCAAGAGGACATCGTTCCCGAGTCGGTTCCGCAGGAGGACGACGAAGGGGACGCCTAAAGACTCCATAGTCACATTCGTAGTTTTTACTTTCAAGTTTCTCCTTTAGGTAGTTTAATCTTTTATATTTTGTGAGCACGTTTTTAGTTTTAGTGTAAGGGATGTTAATCAAATTTTGTTTTCGCTTCCGCATTTGATATTTATAATATAAATTCCATTTTAAATTTCCGGGGCTGCTACATGTAGTTTCTTTTTTAGTGAAATTAATTTTGCTTGGATCCCACGACAAGCTCACCCCACCAATTCATGGGGAGAAAGCCTACTCCTTATTGATCACTTAGAGTCTAATTATGCAAAATTAGTGTTTATCTTATGTGATGCGATAGGTATCAAATTCACCAAAAATAAATTCTTATTCTAATAATAAATAAATATTATAGTAATGGTGAATAGAGTCGAATTCATACGGAATTGAGATATAATATTCTTGTATACCTAGTAATAAAATATAAATAAAAAGAAGAGGATTTTTGTTTTGAACAAAAATTAAAATAAGTTCATAGAATTTAAATCAATAGATCAAATAAAATAAAAATTAATCAAACTGAAATTAACAAAAAATAATTCAACAGACTAAATGAGGTAAAATTCAGTTTTAAATAAATTCCAGTCAAAGAAATAATATCAGTTTTAACTTGTATGATTGATCATTGATGCAAAAATAATTCTTACCACTTTTCAATAAACTAGTTATAGTTATTGGAAATGTTCTTGATAACCAATATTTCTTTAATCTTATATTAAGCAAGAGACACTCGTTCATTAACCTTTGCTAATGAACAAATCTAGATATGCTCTTAGAGTTTAATTCACTAACAGCATTAAAAACTAGAAAGATCTTATTCTAACTAACCAACTCAAGCAAGCAGTTAATTCGGATTAGATTATATATTTTCTTAGTGTGAAAACTATTTTACCACTAGTTATCAGAATAACCTGAATAATTATAGATTCAAAAATTCTGAATAGCAAAATACTATTATGCTATATGCACAACCGACCATGTTGTAACAAATAGCAAATGGTAATTTTTGTATGCACAGAAAAATTTATAAATATCGAAACAAAAAGAACAAAGATAAAACAATTCGATCTCACAGTCTTGAAATTGAGACTTTAATTAAATCTTTCAACTTGAAATTGATGTATCTAGTCGCTCATAGTGAGTTTAGTACACTAGCAATCGTTTAAAACCAACAGAGAAAATTACAGAAAATTAGAAAAAGAAATCTATTCATCATCTTCTTCTCTGTTCTGCCTCCCTCATTTCTGTATGCTCTTTTCTACCTCTATTTAAAGAGTGAAGTCGTGTATAGCTAGGGTTTTCCTCTCCCTTGGTTTCAGCCTTCTTTCTATTTTTAAAAACACTTCTACTTGGTTTCCTGCCTCCAGATGAACATAGGGTTTTTCATTGAGTTTCAAATAATCTCAAAAAAATTAATATTTGTTGGTACTGCTAGGGTGTAAGTTGTGACATTCCAAGTGCTAATTAAGATAAATGGATGTCAGATACAGATTCAGAATAACGAGTGTATGATAAAATTTATGCAGCGGAACAAAATCATTATAAATCTCTTATAAATATATATGAGTTCCAATACATATATATATTGAGTCCAGAAGTTGCTACAAAATACAAAACATAAGGGCCATTTTTTTTACTATACTACTGGACTCATCAGAGTACGGGAACGGTCATGCACTCAGACTTGTGGATCCATGGGATCTTTGTAGACTTCTAAGGGTGGGTTAGCCTGCGGTTCCTCACTTTCTTTCTCATCTGATGGGGACATGGAAAGTATGAGTTCCATATGCTCAATAAGAAAAATAGTATTAAATTAACATCGTAAGATTTCAAAAGTTAATTATTTTATCTTACCTTTTAACTTCTTCGTTTATCTATCTCACATTATAGAAAATCATTTATTTG